ATGTATTTCTACTGTTTTAATTTAACATTTTAACGCAGTTTAATCGATTCATTATGATTTTGCCAAACTGTGACGGCCATATTGTCACAAACTTCGATTAGTACTCGGAATACGCATTAGAGGTGTTGTTAGTTACAAGGTTTATATAGGAAATCCTATACCATGATCGGGCTTCGATCATATTCGATGGAATTTCGTCGGTTTTTGAGTCGGAAGCAATTCTATCAATTCTATCTATTTTTCTATGTATCAATGTTTTTTCATACAAGCGGCTCACTACTGGCGAGTTTTAATTTCCGATCGAAATCGAAATTGAAGACTTATACTAATCAGTAATATAAAACACCCGATGTTCATAATTTTAAAAAATTCTTCACTTCGAACTGTTCTTCTGAAAATGTCCAAATCAGAGGATATAAATCTTTTTAAATTTCCATATGCCGTTATAAATTGAAAAAATACGCCTCTGTCAATTTGATGAAGAGCCTTCATTGAAGACAGTGAAAGCTCAAATAGTTCTACGTAAGATTGTGCGTAATGAATCCTTAATCCTTCTTAATTAAGAAATAATTTTCTTTTTTATTTTTATTTTAATTTTTTAATTTTAATTTAAAGACCAATGAAATCATTTATCCCGTTGAAATAATTTTAAAGTCAAAACATTCGAACGATATAACGTTCGTTTGACCATATAGACCATATACACAACTACATACACACGAGGTGTGTTGTACGAACTGTCAAAAATAGAAACGTCAAACTAATTTTTTTTATCAATATTCGTCATCGTCGAATTTATGCAATTTATTTGAAAAGAAAAAAAAACTAATTTCAATCCAGTTCCATTTATTGCTGTTGTGATTACGATTTATTGAATAAACTACGTGTAAATTTTTGTTGTTCAGTGAGATTTGATTGAATATATAGAATGGATAAGGTTACTGAATTCCACTACACATCATTGCCAGAAGATTCGATTTATGTAAAACCGTTTCGCATGTATTATGTACAAAATGGCATGAAAAAGTCATGGGATTTATTAAAAGTGCACGACAGTGTGGCAATAATTATTCTAAACAAGACACGAAATACATTGGTTTTTGTACGTCAATTTCGACCGGGTAAGAATCGATAGAGAGAAGAAACAACAACGTTCCAATTCATACAATGTCATCTAATTTTAATACGAAATTTTTTGTTTCAGCTGTTTATCATTCGATAATATCAACAGATCCCGAACATTTGACAGCGTCATCAGAAATTTTATTGGAAAAATATCCAGTTAGTTTGGCCTTTACGAATGAATTGTGCGCTGGTATTGTTGATAAGTCAAAATCGCTCATTGAAATTGCAAAAGAAGAAATTCTTGAGGAATGCGGTTACAATGTGCCAATTGAACGAATTGAGCTTGTTATGACTTATAGGCAAGTATAAACATTTTAGCAATTCATTTCGAAAATGAATTGTAATTTTTCGTGTTTTGTTTTGTTTTCTTTAGGTCTGGCGTTGGAACAAGTGGATCTTTACAAACGTTGTATTATTGCGAAGTGACGGATTCCGATAAAGCGAATAGCGGCGGCGGAGTTGACGACGAAATTATTGACGTAATTGAATTAACGCTAGATGAATGCCGTGACATGTTAAAACAAGGAGCTAATAATAATGCACCACCAAGCTGTTTATTCGGCATCAGCTGGTTTTTTGCAAACAAAGCTAATTCAAAATGATAATTTAAAAACAATGTGCCATCTCAGTTTTTCGTTAGAAAAACCAAAGGGTGATACGTATTCAAATTTGTTCCATTTTATTATCTGCCATTGTGAACCTCATTCGCATAATACAAATAAAATTCCATTTTTTAGAGTATGCAACACCTTTTATCTATTCAAATTTATCGTCTTCAATCTGTTCATTTAGAATGAGAAATTACATGTCTTCGGAGAAAATGTTTTTGTTATGAATAAGCTATAAAATGCACTGTAAATATTTACATATATAATTGAAATAAATTTCCAAATCAAATATTGATCAACACTTCATATATCGATTCGATTCTTTCGCTGCTACTCTTTATATTTATATAAATGAAATCCATGTGTTTTTTTTGCTCGGCTTTTTCAGTCAAGCATGAAATATCACCTTTCATCATTTAATCATTTCAGTGCAATGATAAACTTTTGGAGAGACTAAACAAATATATTCATTTGTTTTTCGTGATAAGTTCTTGTGTTTCACTGTTGAATTCATTTTAGTTTTAACGTTACATTTTATCGAAAAACTTGTAAAAATGGAATGCTATTGTGGACACTACTACTGCAAAAATTGCCGAATCGATTGGCTTCAGACTACGCAAGAACCGAGCGTGAATGAAAAATGCAAATCATGTCCTAATGACGTGAATCCATATGGAATGGTTAGAAATAAATATATTTAATTGGACCATGTAACATGGTTCATGTTCCGCGTTCATACAATCATTGATTTTTTTTCGACACAGGAAAAATTGAAAACCGACGATAAATTGAACTATAACATTACATATATTTGCACGAATGATGCATGCCGTGTCAGATGGACGGAAGACAATCTCGAAGAGCCAAATACCATGGGATCCTGCACCACTTGTGGTACAAAAAACATTCAGCCATATATGCAGGTAAATTGAGACACAAAAACTTTTTTCTCAAATTTTTAACGGAAATTCTATTTTCAAATTGCAGCAAGTGCAAGTGATCAAAAAACAGTAGAAGACCCAGAAGTTGGGGAATGTTGCTAAAAGTCCCTATTTAAAATCGATTGAAAATGAATCATTTGAAAAGAATGTTGAATTTGTAATTTAAACAATATTTTTGAACTGAGATAAAAACAATTTGCATTTTTTCAAACAAACAAAATCAAATTATTATCAGAAGATTTTTTCAGATATTCTGTCGTCTGAAGACAAACCAATTTTGTTTAGTCTACCTTTATATCCGTACGAAAAATTTATTTTTCGATTCAAGTCTTTGCTTATCTTTCTGATTTTAAAAGAGAATATTCTCGATAAAGGAGCACAGTGAACGAAAGTGAACATATTACATTTCTGCGATAATTGGCAAACATAAATAAATCGAAGTTTAATGAGTAATCGAAATGATTTATAGAAATTTTTTGATTAAACACATTCCCTTGTATAATGATTGTTCAGCACATTGACATTTTTGTTGTTTTTAAACGATAAAATAGCTATAAATTCGCTTGTCTTTTGATTTTTTTCGAACATTTTCTCTTCAATCAGTGAACGTTTAAGTAGTCAAACAATTTTTGTTCATTAAAGTCACACGATTTATTGCAACGAAATGTGTTTTAAAGCACATTATATTTGCTACGGATGTGGCAGCCAATGCTATAGAGTCAATCATATCAAGGGTGAACTTGAAGAATGTCCATGCTGTAGTAAAATCAATCCACC